GTGATCTTTACTGTTTGTGTTCTATCATACGTTGTTATTATTATTAATATTATTATCATTATTATTATTATTATTATTTTCCACTGAGGTGTGCAATAACACTGCAGGGTTTGCAGAGTTTAAGATTGATGTGCAACATGACCCTGGGACCCAGATGGGGTGATGCACACACACACTCCCCCTCAGGGAAACAATAATATCTTGTGGTTGTATTTGGGTTTGTGAGAAGTCAATCTGTTAGCCTGTGGGGTCTAAACGCCTTGTCGGACCTCGGCTCCAGTCCAGCGTTACTCTTAAAAATAAACGGAATTATTGTTCCACTTTACGACTCTCTCTTCAACTGCAGAGTCCGCGCGCCGCCGGTCTTATAGTCTCAGAGTCCACTGAAGAAGGTATCTAGGAGTCTCAGCCGGGGCTCCGAGCGTCAGGAGGATGGCGGGAGACGGGAGGTCGCTTGTGAAGCACGACGCCGCTAGGTGGACGCATGCATGGCGGGAAGGGTTGTCCACTTTCTTGTACAGCCCTTGATTCGTTTAGGAAGTCTGGCCCACTTATTGACGCGGATGGCAGGGAGGTAGCGTAAGCGAGGGCGGGAGAGAAGCGTGGAATGATATAAGAGAGAGAGAGAGACCCAAGACACACAGAGACCCACCATATAGGTCAGACACAAGCACTTGGTCGGTTATCACTCCACACATCACCCACGGCCACCGGATGGCTCCCGCTCAGTCCCTCCTCTCGGCCAACAAACTACTAACTACTTTTTCACATTTTCATCCGTTTATGGCTGCGTATAAATGGTATGGTAAGACGCCACAGCATCTCAAAACCACACAACTAATAACTAATAAAGGAAGATTGTGGTTAGTGAAAAACGTAAACAATGTGGGGAAGTGGGACATCTACAAGAAATCAACACATAGTCTTATGAGGTATTCCCAGTGTATGTGGGGCAGCGGTACTCCCCAGTGGGTACTCCACAGTGGGTACTCCACAGTGGGTACACACACACATCCCCCACACCCGCATCCCCACATATACATACCCAACAAATATATACAAAAACAATAACGCCGATGTCTTGATGTATATTGTTGCAACCTCACGTTTCTCTTTGCAAGTCACGAAAACAATATATATATTTTACCATTTCGTAGAAAATGTTCACATCTGTAAGTCAGAAACGTATCCATACGCACGCGAATACATATTTAAAAAGATATGTACTCAACTAAATACACCCATATGATTCATTACAACGATGACATGCAAATGTGCAGCATTATATATGGCAAAAATGAACACAAGAGTCACATTGCCCTGGGAAACCGGGCACCAAGCCAAGCCGTAAATGCCACCACAGTTCTATCGCGTAAACGATAAACGATTCAATGACGATTCTATCTACGGCTCAAAATCTAGATAGAAAGACCCCCCCTCAGGAACGATAGTGGGACTTTTTGACAAGTCGCCAGCTTCCTGTCCCCCATCGAGGCCACAAGAGATAGCGAGCCTCGGGTAAATTCAGGTAAAAGACGTAAGTGAGACAGACATGCAGAGAACTAGTTCTTAATTCAAGGACACAAACAACCGCTTTTCCATAAAGTTAGCATATCTCAGGGCTGCCCGGCAAGGGCGGTTATACAAACAAATTGCAATTTTTGGGATGATTATATGTATATGTTGAAGCATTCTCGAGGTGGTTGCTTCCTGGTGACGCCCCTTGTAATGGGTAGAGGGGCCCCTGGTACCTGGTCCTTGGTCCTGGTGAATAGAGCCCCAAGGTACCTGGTCCAGGTGAATGGGGCCCCACGGTACCTGGTCCTGGTGAGTGGGGCCCTACGGTACCTGGTCCAGTCTTATGAGACACCTAACACTGTGAGGCCCTGGTGCCTGGTCCTGCGTGACGCTTCCGCCACCGATGACTTCCGGTGACAACTACCAGGGTAGTGTACCAGTGGCACTACCACGCTCTAAATGTCAAGGCGGCCACCCTCCTGACTGCTGCCAGTTACTGTTATAGGGATACAACGCGGAGGTGGGCCCCAAGCACCACATCTCGCTCCCCATAATCATGGCTATTTGGAAGAGTTTGGTAAGTACACACACATGACTATAGACGCGACACTGGCACACGCCCTGGGGTCGAGGCACTGATCCGGACACCCCAATACTCACCCCCCTTCCAGCCACCCCCTCCCCCATGTCACATGGGAAGGTAGCTACAGGAATCGGAGAGAGAGAGAGAGAGAGAAAGATTTGGGAGTGAATATAATTACAACACTCACACCGGAGGCACACACAAACAGGATAACATCAGCAGCATCAGGGACGCTGGCACATATATGAACATCGGTTGAAAACCTAAATCAGAATTCAGTCAAGGCAATCTGCACAACATTACTTAGATCAATATTCGAATATGCAGCACCGGCATGGAATATGCACGAAACCAAATTGAAAAAGTACGGAGGTCTGCAACCAGATTATTGTGAGAACTAAGAGGCTAGGCTAAGCTATGGCGATAGGCTAACGGAACTAAATCTCACAATCCTAGAGGATAGGAGGAACAGAGAGGATATGATCACACAACATAAAATATATTGAGGGGGGAATAGATACGATAGACAAGGACAGCGTTTATAAAGTGTGAGAAAGCAGGACAAGAGAACACAGGTGGAATCTGGAAACACAAATGAGCCGAAGGAATGTACGGAACTACTCGTACCCTGTACAGGTGGTGAACAAGTGGAATGCAATAAAAGAAGTTGTGGAAGCCACAATTTTAAGACCAGATTCGACAAGGAGTCTGAGAGAATAATTCAGTTATATCAAAACAGGTATAACAAGATAAAAGGCGGGGCATAAAGAGGTAGACCTCACTCTTCCGTTGTCACAGATGGTGGCCACTGTAAGTAGGAGAAGGAGGCCACGAGGAACAGAAATGAAAATCTACATCCAGGAAAAGAGGAGGACACCCCCATCCCCCTCTTCCCTCACCCAAGAAGGAGGGAGGACTCTCCTCCAATGTGTGCACACGCCGCCACTACAACCCTCCAGGCGCTGCCCCACAGCCCTCCAGGGCTCTATACTGTGATCTGAAAGATACTGAAGAGCGATCCGTTTTGTGGTTGAAGCCCTGATTGGTGGCAATTTAGACCCCTAAGAGCAATACCTGGCGTGTAACTGGAGTGGGTTCTGGGAGTTATTCTACTCCCCAAGCCCGACTTGTCTTGTGATTACTTCATCTAGAAGACTGTTGCTTGGGGCGGCCCGCAGGCCCAAGTGGGTCAGAGACTCGTGCATGTTTACAACTGTGTGAGTATTGAGAGCCTCACGAAGCACACGGTAAAACTTATTAGGGAAGAAGGTTCCTGTGGCCTCGACAGCAACGTTGTATCGTGGATATTGGAAGATACGAGGTGAGAGAGAATGGTCCGAGTGCGGTCACACCCAACACGTCGACGAGGAGCGAGGACCTCTGTCTACACGTCTGTTGTTTTAGCTGTAGCTACTCAGAAGGAAATGTTCATGTAGCACGGGCTATGGTGAGCCCGTGACGAGAGAGGCACGGGGCTACACGACGACTGACTGATGAAGATTAAGCCACCCAAGAGGTGGCACGGGCATGAATAGCCCCTAAGATGCTGTAAGACGTTGTTGTTGTTTTTTTAAGATTCAGCTACTGGGAACCAAAAGTTGCAAGTAGCACGGGCTATGGCGAGCCCGTAGTGGACTTACCTGGCACAGGAGCGGGGCTGGAACTGGTGGACGGCCAATATATGTTGTATATATTGTATATACCATATATGTTGGTTGTGGAGCCAGGGGGGGGGGTACATGCGGGTAGCACCACCACCGCCCTCATCCATGCTGGCCACCACCACTCCTAAAGCATTTACACATCACATACGAAACCTCTGTATCTTTCAAGAGTTTGTGAACTGACTTGATTTAAAACTTTTATGAACTGGGAATCACTAAGAGGCTGTTTAGAACAACATTGTTTTACCACTTACTTCCCTCCTCCTCCTCCCCCCCCCCTTCTCTTTTTCCTTCTCTCCCCCTCCCCCCCCCCCTCTCTCGCATCACCTTAAGTTTTGCAAGATGGCACTGCGTAAACTTCACGACTGATGTACACTTTCCCTCTCTCTCTCTCTCTCCCTCTCCACCGGAGGCTTAAGGCTCCTGGCGGGATTCTTTTTAGTGAACTTAAGTGGGACTCAAGGAGTGGGTTGCAACACAATATTTGCAGTGACTATTGCCAGCTGCAGTAGTTGTATACTATCCTGGTAGTACAGCAATAACTAGCAAATAGTAATGATGATGATGGTGATGATAAAGAGTGATGACATATTTGGGTCACTCGGATTAAAGGACTTTCACCGCTACACTAACCCGACTCTTGACAGGTACGCCCTGGTTCTTGACCCGCTGCCAGGCACGCTTCTGGCGCCTCTCTTGCTGACGGTGCTCTTGTGGGAGACACCGCTCTTGTGGGAGGCGCCGCTCTTGTGGGAGGCGCCGCTCTTGTGGGAGGCGCCGCTCTTGTTGGAGGCACCGTTCTTGTAGGAGGCGCCGCTCTTGTTGGAGACGCCGCTCTTGTGGGAGGCGCCGCTCTTGTGGGAAACGCCGCTCTTGTGGGAGGCGCCGCTCTTGTGGGAGGCTCCGCTCTTGTCAGCTGTGCTCTTGTGGGTGGTGGTAAACAAGAGGCCACTGGTATATAGAAAGGTTGACATAATTACTGCCAATAAAGGTCAACAAAGCGTTACCAACTGCACCCGCTGGTAAACGAAAGGTTATTATGGCGTTATTAGAGGTCAGTATCACGGGGGAGGTGTTGGCAACACCCGCACTCAACCAGGTCAGTAATTGGTCATAATGGCTGCACTGAACCGCTGTATTTTTGACGGAGTAGTTAGCCTCGCAGAATGGGGCTAACCAACTCCTCTTCTACTAGATGGCTAACGCATTCCAGATCTCTCTTTCTAGTTTCCTCTCTCGGTATATCCTTCCGTCTCTCTCTCTCTCTCTCTCTCTCTCTCGGTATATCCTTCCGTCTCTCTCTCTCGGTATATCCTTCCGTCTCTCTCTCTCTCTCCTCTCTCTCTCTCTCTCTCTCTCTCTCTCTCTCTCTCTCTCTCTCTCTCACCCCCTGATCAACCCCTCACCCTCTCTCCATCATCTTGACGGGAGATGAGAGAGAGATTGCTCCACACCCCAAACTTCCTCCCTCACTACAGGTACTCATTTGTGATGGCCACCATGTGATGGCCACCATGTGATGGCCACCATGTGATGGCCACCATGTGATGGCCACCATGTGATGGTTATATATCTTTATATTCTCCTGCTTGTGTCTATAGACCTATATATATTTCCTTGATGAATGGATACCATCTATCTGGTTGTTGCTCGATTATATGATAAATGTTATCTATCGGATAGCTGGTCTTCTACATGATGAATAAAGCATCACTACTTCATCATAATCTATCATTACACGTCAACAACATAGAAGTTAGCAGAGTTACCAAGTCCACACTCGCTCCCAGTGTTATAAATTCTTCGTTATCAATTAGCATGATTTATAATACGAGTTTGTAGTTAGCACCAGATTAACATGATAATTGATAAGTGATACCAACTGTTCGCGATAATCACAAAGCTTATTATATATATGTTGCAGCATTGCCAGTTTATATGCAGTATCACTAGCTCTTTACGGCCTTGCAGTATTACCAGCTTCACATGGCCTTGTCTCATTACCAGCTTCACATGGCCTTGTCTCATTACCAGCTTCACATGGCCTTGCAGTATTACCAGCTTCACATGGCCTTGTCTCATTACCAGCTTCACATGGCCTTGTCTCATTACCAGCTTCACATGGCCTTGTCTCATTACCAGCTTCACATGGCCTTGTCTCATTACCAGCTTCACATGGCCTTGTCTCATTACCAGCTTCACATGGCCTTGTCTCATTACCAGCTTCACATGACCTTGTCTCATTACCAGCTTCACATGGCCTTGTCTCATTACCAGCTTCACATGACCTTGTCTCATTACCAGCTTCACATGACCTTGTCTCATTACCAGCTTCACATGACCTTGTCTCATTACCAGCTTCACATGGCCTTGTCTCATTACCAGCTTCACATGGCCTTGTCTCATTACCAGCTTCACATGACCTTGTCTCATTACCAGCTTCACATGACCTTGTCTCATTACCAGCTTCACATGACACTGCAGTATCACCAGCGTTGCATGACAGTGCAACATTGCTAACATTACAATATCATCAGCTCCAAATAACCTTCAAATATTTCCAACTAAATAATAATAATAATAATAATAATAATAATAATAATAAATGAATAAAAAGCTTACAACACTAGATCTTGTTAATTCAATATTACCACATTTGAAACATAAAAAAATATATCTGAGCGCTTTCCAACTGTAGATCTTTCTTCAGAGAGAATTGACTTCACTTAATAATTTAATTATAACAAATACTTTAAGGGGGGATTGATAGAATAGACCAAGAGGAAATGTTTACCATAAATGCCAATAGATCAAGGGGAAGAGAAAGGGGGGGGAGGGGTGATGGATAGAAGCCTGAGACTCAGAGGTGTCATAGAGATATTAGAAAATGTTCTTTTAGCGTAAGGGTTGTGAGTAAATGTGAGTAAATTATAAGAAGCAGGTTGTAGAGGCTAACTCATTTCACACATGTAAAAGCAGATATGATAGGGAAATAGGCCAGGATTCATATTGCATTAGACAACTGGTGGCTAGAAAAGCGGGTCCAAGAGCTTGAACTCGATCCTGCAAGCCCAAATAAGTGAGTACAAATAGGTGAGCACACACACACTCAAATAATATATATATATATATATATATATATATATATATATATATATATATATATATATATATATATATATATATATATATATATATATATTTTGTTGTTTGACCACTGACTGCCTTCATGACCTCATCAAAAGCCAAACCGCTCCCACACACCCTCTCTACACCGAGCTGTCATAATAACAGCGGAATCTCTAATGCCCGACTCAGTTATGTCTCCCGTTCTCCCTCTATTTCACAAGCGTTTAATTGATAGTGCTTTGTCCTCACCCACCGAACCTATCCTACCAGATGCTCATTTGTCAGAGACAGCGTCAGTATTGTGGTGCTTCAAGCGTGAGGACAGGCTGTGTTGAGAGACGTCCCGCCAGAGGGCACTGTGTACAACTTGTATCAATATATCAGCGCCCCGTCCTCGTAAAATGAAGGTACTTATAGTAACTATTTGGTCGAAAGTACCAATATGTAGCGGTGGACCACCAGAAAAGTACCAATTTGCCACCTGTCCTCATGATAAGCTCGTTAAAGCAGCGGCCGTCTCTCCCCTTCCCCCCCCCTTCACAAGACGCACCATCAACTTTAACGCATTGCACATTAAAAAAAATAGGCTTATTCTCATATATAAATAAATATCATTATATGGTAAAGTTCTACGCATAGTTAGACGTAAGTTAGGTTAGATGTTTAGGTTCTGTTGGCGACTATTTGTATTTGTAGTACGTGGGTGAAGCATTTATACAGCGTTGTGGAAAAGAGGTCGTCAGCGAAGCACTTGGAGACGTGTTCGAACGGTATCAGTCGTGAGTCGTATCTAGACCGTTTTTCAGTTATAAAAACTGGGGGTTTGGCGGCTGCATGGAAAGAACATTTGGAGTTTGATGATGAGGACGAGCTGCTGAGTCTGTAGTATGTGGGTGAAGCATTTACAGAGATGCGATTTGAACAGAGGTTGTCAGTGAAGCACTACTCGAGAAATGTTTGAGCGTCATCAGATGTTAGTCCTGCTTTTCCAGTCCATCATCAACAACGAGGGCCAAATGCTCGTTAACCCTTCCGCCAAACCCCCCTGTTTATAAACGAAAAACACTCTACATACAACTCACAACTTGATGACTTTCGAACACTTCTCAAACAGTGCTTCGACAACAACCTCTGTTCGAACCGCAACGCTGTAAACGCTTCACCCACGTACTACAAATACAAATAATCGCCCACAGAACCTAAACACCTAACCTAACCTACGCCAAACGATACACAGAACTATATTATATAATAATATAAATTTATATATGAGAACAAACCTATTTTCAATACGCACCAAGTTAAAATATGATGAATGTTGAACTTGACGGCGACGGCTTTAACCAGCCTGGCCTGACGACAGGTTGAATTACAAATAATTGCCTGAAGAACATATAACCCCCTAATCTAACCTACTTTAGACCAAACTATACACCAAATTCTAATATATAATAATGTTAATTTATATATAGATGACTATAACCTGAGGACGGGCTGAGGACAGGTTGAGGACAGGCTGAGGACAGGCTGAGGACGGGCTGATCATATAGGCTCGTATCTCCTCGGAGCTTACATCAAGCGCATCATTTTCACTGCAAGAGACATCCTTTCGCATCACTTCAACATTCACTGTATGGCTCAAAAATCACCGTTTCATTGACATTTCGTGACACTGTAAGGCTTAAAGCCACTGAAATTGTTTTTGATCACCAAACAAAGTAAGGAGCTCTCGTGGCTGTTTTTAAGATCCTACGAAGTTTCAGAGCTCAAAACACTAGAGCCTGTGATTGGAGCCCCTTTCGACACCTGTAGAGCTCCCGCACTAGCCATATTTAGAGCCCGATACAGAGTGCCATCACTACAGTGAAGAGAATACTATTTGGAGATCTGTCTGTTCGTACACTTGCGCATGATTTAGAACACCATGTACAAAACAAGAACGCAGTGAACACTAGATAAACACAAGGTATATTAATTGCAGAGGGTGTACTTAAAGAGAACACAGCTGCAAAAACACTACATCACACAGCACGCGCGTGAAGAACACAGAACACACAGGACGCCCGGGTAGAACACAGAACACACGGGACGTTCGGGAAGAACACAGAACACACAGGACGCCCGGGTAGAACACAGAACACACAGGACGTTCGGGAAGAACACGGAACACACAGGACGCCCGGGTAGAACACAGAACACTTTACAAAGTGTCAAAGCACAGAGGAGCACATACTGCTGTGATACAGCCTCCGCGCCTGGCACCGGAGGAGTGAGTGTGCGTGTGTGTGTGAGCGAGTCGCCCAGTGTGTGTGTGTTTGTGTGTGTATGTGTCTCCTTGCGCTGAGAGCCACTCACCTGGGCGGCTCCACCACCACACCACCACCACCACACCACCTGCACCACACCACCACACCTACACCACCACCACACCACCACCACACCACCACCACACCACCACCACACCACCACCACACCACCCCCACATCACCATACCTACACCACCACCACACCACCTACACCACAACCACACCACCTACACTACCACCACACCACCTACACTACCACCACACCACCACCTGCACCACCACCACACAACAGACTGGTACACAAACTTGACACTCGAGCAAATGTATCTGGCATGAGGATAATTTGGATTAGAGTACCTCTCTGATAGGAAACAGAGAACTAAGATGAAAGGGGAACGTAAGATCATCAGTAAAGGTTCAACACGATGATCTATGTTATTTCTGATGCATAATGAAGAGTCATGACACATTAGGATTTAAAAAAAAGATGCACGACAATCTGGATAAGTTTCATGGATGGTCAGAGAAATGGCATCTAGACTTCAACCGAGTTAGATGCAAGATAATTAGAATTGGAGAGTGGAGCAACAAGACCCGGTATATACTATAAGATATACAAAAGACTTGAAGAGCATATGTACCTCGACTCTAACAGTAAATGCTCGCATTAATAGGAAAATAACATTAGCATATGTGACACTGGAACATGAGAATATCCTATATCATACGATAGTCCATATACACTGGATATTAGTGTGGTTAAGGGGGGAGGGGTAGTGAGTGGAGGGGGCAGGAATAGTGTAGTGGAGGGATGGAGAGTGGAGGGATGGAGAGGGATGGAGAGTGGAGGGTGGAGGGGTGGAGAGTGGAGGGATGGAGAGTGGAGTGGTGGGTGGGGCGGACTAAGGGGGTAGTGTTAAGTAGACCACCTCTACCCTGCGGGTTCTACACAGTTACTCCACTTAGTCACTGACGAGACTGGACTGGGGGATATCCACTTACATCTACAGTCTATGGGTCTTACTTTGCTCAACTGTTTAAGTATGAAACAATAATAACCATCATTTATTAACAGTTAACACTTACCGTTACAGCTACCAATTACCGTTACAGTTATTAGTGACTATAATACAACTAACTGGATGGCTAACAACTAGGCTAACAATATCTATCTACTACTTTACTAAAGTCCTTCGATGAATCATCTCGTCTTCTGACTTGAAATGAAATATATCAGTCAATTCTGACAGTCTTTACATTTGACAGTTCAATTGCTCCAAACAAACATTTCCTCACTTTTACAGTTTACAAATCCAGATTCCCTTGTCATGGCGTCTAAAACTCACCCTCTCCACCACTTAATTGTGACGGCATGACCTTCACGAACGGTACCTGGCCCGTTCGTGAGCCTCAGACAGGCCAATCCGGTCTAGACGACTTCCCTCGGCTATCAGTGCAAGGAATATTAGGTCACAGTTAGGCTGGTTTCTGGAGTTATGCCTTCGATGATTGGTATATTGATGGGTGTGTGATGATATACACTACAATACAGGGTTCGAATCCTCGTCACGGCCCTTGTGGATTTGTTCGTGTGATGATATACTTAAAACCATCACTGACAGTCACCACAACTCACCACTATCACTGACAGTCACCACAACTCACCACCATCACTGACAGTCACCACAACTCACCACCATCAACAGCGCCACTACAGGATTTAGAATCGAAGGTGAACACTTGATATTTAAGAAGGGAAAAATCAACTACCAGTATTTACAAGAGCCAGTGGGACAAGACCTGCTCCTAGCGCCCCCCTTCCCCGCCACCACTCCCTCCCTTCCTTCCCTTCCACCCCACCACTCCCTTCCTTCCGCCCCACCACTCCCTTCCTTCCTTCCTTCCCTTCCCTTCCCTTCCCTTCCCTTCCCTTCCACCACACCACCAGCTTCACCTTTACCAGCACCAGCAACACATTAGTAAGAGCAAGTAGAGGCAACAGCCTCTACTTGCTAGAGAGAGCTACTCTAGAGAGGACTAGAGGCAGTTTACATATGTGAACCTCAGTGGCACCACCACCACTACCCGTCGAGAGTGCCAGAGTGCCCATCACTCGAGCACAAGACCCCTGACACACAAGGTCAGCCAAGATGAATACAATGGACTGACCTGAGAGAGTGGACTGAGGCGCTCCGCTGAGGTCAGTGGTCAGGGCGTCGCTCAGGTGAGCAGCCTTGGCCACCTTACTGAAATACTCCTCCTCACGTTACCACAAAGGAATATCCACCATTTAAACTTAGAGGTCTGCTGTGGGTGGCCGTGTGAACATTGATATATATATATATATATATATATATATATATATATATATATATATATATATATATATATATATATATATATATATAGGGGGTGGTAGGAGAAAAGCACACAGAAACTGTATTGGGGGGGACCCACATTCCCTCCAATGCGTTATGTGTGGTTTCCTCCGAGGCTATGGGTCCCCCTTCTTCCAGCCAGAGGTGGTACTCCCTTCCCTATTATAAAAAAAAAAAAAAAAAAAAAAAAAAAAAAAAAAAAAATATATATATATATATAAATTTGTATAGCCTTTGCATATATATATATAGAGGCTTGCAGACAGGGCATACAATGTGTTTAACATTCAATGAACTGTGTGTCGTGGTGTCACAATGAGGCAGTAGTGTGAGGCAGGTGTGTGAGGCAGTAGTGTGAGGCAGGTGTGTGAGGCAGTAGTGTGAGGCAGGTGTGTGAGGCAGGTGTTACTAAATCCCGCCTCCAAGACTGTCTCCATACGGGCTGTGTTGTTCACTTGTTTAATAACTTTTATCACCTACGGCTCTGTGTGTGTGTGTGCTCGCCTTGTTGTGCTTGCGGGGGTTGAGCTCTGGCTCTTTGGTCCCGCCTCTCAACTCTCAATCAACAGGTGTACATGTTCCTGAGCCTACTGGGCTCTATCATATCTACATTTGAAACTGTGTATGGAGTCAGCCTCTACCACATGACTGTTTAATGCATTCCTATTACTAATGAGAGAGAGAGAGAGAGAGAGAGAGAGAGAGAGAGAGAGAGAGAGAGAGAGAGAGAGAGAGAGAGAGAGAGAGAGAGAGAGAGAGAGAGAGCCAGGTGAGGCCAGCGGCGGTAAGTGTGTCAGGTGAGGTCTGGTCGTGAGGTAACAAGGCAGTTCACCTCAACCTCCTCCAACGCCAACACTGAAAGTAATCACCACCACCAACGCTATCCACATAAGCCACCTACATCACCCACTACCATTGTTATAGCTACCACCACCACCACCACCACCATGCACCACTACCACCACCACCACCACCATGGGCCAGCCTACAACATTGCCACACCACAACCCAACCAGTCAACCGTACTGTTAGGTTATCACTCTTGCATTCTAACTGTTATTAATTAGCCTCCTCAAACATCACGTTGACTCTCAAGTAAATGACAGGAAGCGTGCCGCTGCTCTTCTTAACCAGGCACCTCCACACCTGCCTCACATACACACCTGCCTCACATACACACCTGCCTCACATACACACCTGCCTCACTTACACACCTGCCTCACTTACACACCTGCCTCACTTACACACCTGCCTCACATACTCCTTAAAACTGCCCTTTTCACTTGTGTAAACGTTACGCCATTTATCAACAGCGAAAATGGAGTCGTGTGAAATATTCCACGAATATCTCACAATCTTTTCTTTATACAGAACTATATATATACACACACATAAGGTCATACCTTAAGCCAAAAAGTTATACCTTCACACTGTGATTTAAATTATAATAAAATATAATATATATTTCGTTTCTGGATAATATATTTATTACCAAAAATGGAAATGTCTCTCCCGCCAAAAAAAAAATCAATAATAGTCACCGTCATCGAAATAGAAAATGGGAACTTGAGTCTCGGTGTATGATTACCCCATTAATTTAAAACAGGGTTTCGACCCCTGCTGAGCAAGATTTTTTGTTTATACTGTGCCGTATTGTTTGCTCTCTCTCTCTCTCTCTCTCTCTCTCTCTCTCTCTCTCTCTCTCTCTCTCTCTCTCTCTCTGTCTGTCTGTCTGTCTGTCTGTCTGTCTCTCTCTCTCTCTCTCTCTCTCTCTCTCTCTCTCTCTCTCTCTCTCTCTCTCTCTCTCTCTCTCTACGTCTAACGGCACGCGAGCTCCGAATGTTCCAATTGAACACCTACTCGGAGACACATGTTCACTGGAACTCGCTTGAGTGTGAACTATTAGAAACTTGGCACATGTCACCCGGCAACAAGTCACATCTGTGAGGCTTGGAGTTGGGTGTGGCATGCAACAGGTGTGCGAGTAATGGGACATGATCAACGGGGCAGCTGTTGCTATCGGTACGCTGTTGCGGCACGTGTATATATTTATAGCGATAAGGGATCAGTTTGATAAAACTACACCTGTGTTTTGTGGGGACTATTATGCAGCTGTGGTCTGGGACACGTGTGATGGACATTTAAAGAGATAAAAATCTTTGATAAATGGCGATAGGGGTGGGGGGGGAGGGGTTTAGGGGGGAGGTTAGGGGGTGTGTGGGGCTGGGTGATGGGGTGTGTGGGCTGGGAGGTGATGGGGTGTGGGGTGGAGGTGAGAGGTTTAACTCGGTCCCTCTCTTTAAAGCATGCTCCTGGTGGCATCCTGTGTTTACAAGACAGGGCGGCTCCTCTTTGATACTAGTTGACCCTTCAACCTCCTGCTTCCGTCTCTAATATATTCCCCTTTCCTTAAAACTGCTTCGTTTCTCTTCTGCCAGTTGATTATATATATATATATATATATATATATATATATATATATATATATATATATTATATATATATTATAATATATATATATATTATATATATATATATATATATATATATCAAGTGGCCTTTGTATGCTGAATTTCCAGTACTGAAAACGTAATGTATTTTCTTTAAAATTATATATCAGTGAATACTAAGGAGCCAAATTGCTTCTCTAAGTATAAATTAGGCAAAAACTATGTCAGGCGAGTGATGGAAAGGTCACAGTCTCTCTCTCTCTCTCTCTCTCTCTCTCTCTCTCTCTCTCTCTCTCTCTCTCTCTCTCTCTCTCTCTCTCTCTCTCTCTCTCTTTCTTCTTGACTCTGTATAAATGTCTAGCAACCTTATATATTTGCTGGCTAAATTATGATCAACATTCTTTTCAAACATAATTTCCATGTAAATTTTCAGGCTTTATAATGAGTTTCGTCCTGTCAGCTGTAGTGCTCAAGCGCTGAGGGGAGCGATGAGGCGTCTTTTGTAGTATTCTCCGAGTAGACCTTATCTCCTCGGAGAATATTTAAGCATGGTTAAAAGCGAAACTCGACAGATAACCCTGGAAGATAAAAAAAATTAAGTTGTCTCTTTCCAAATCATTCCTATACACCTTGAACTTTTTCGTCTGTCACTATCTTTGTCATCCGTCTCCTTTCCCCGCCCTTCCTCCCTGTCTCTGTCTCCTCCTTTCTTGTCTCCTCCCTTCCATCCTTCTTGTCTCTGTCTACTCCCTACCTACCTTTCCTAAACCCTCGCCATTCACCTGATGTACGAGAGTTATCGCTCTCATCGTTCATCGGGCACCTTCAGAGGTAAACAAAGAGTTCTTAGGATCGCCGCCGATGCGTTTATAATCGTTCCACTGAGCGTGAAGGCGTGTATAAGCACTCACATAGTTGCTTTTGCAGGGAGACCCCCAGCTCCTTGCCCTCGCCTCCTGGCCATCACTCGTCTGCTCTTTTGACTTCCCTTTTACCATATCTACATTCGAATCCATTCGAATCGGTATTATTATTCAGCCGCCTTTACTCTTCCTCTCCCTGTGAGATCCATTCACTCATGACCGTTGAAACTGATAAAATCATTTTATGTGTGCGGCTCCTTTCAACGTTAAATTTGCAATCACTGAACTGGTTTTGTTCCTGCAAACAGGAACAAAACAGCCAGTTTCTTTTGTTCACTTGTCAATGATTTCAGACAGCCAGACACTGTCCACTTGTCAATGATCACGAGCTTGTCTTGTTGGGGCCATGTTCCAGTGTGTCTTCTCTGGTGATGTCATACTGCATCCAAAGTTTGCCAGGCTACTGATCACGTCCTTGTATGACTAGGTAAGCTGCGAGATGTGGCGTTGCAAGTATCACATAGTTATCTTCTGGCCCAAACTATGTGGCCCTTCATACAGTACAGAGTAGCTGCATAAAAAAAGACATGACATTCTTAGTATATCGTCATAGGAACGCTTCGGTAATTTGTTAAAGTCTATTCAAGTGCTTAAAAGTTTGTAGGTTCCAGGCTGACGCCGCACACGCCACGACTGATATTAACTCAGGTAGTGGACAGTCAGACGATCAATTCACTATACATCAACGGAACTCTTAACATAGTTGCCATCCCTTGCTACGCCCTTGAAATTATCCGCCAGAAAATGTTTGTCTTAAATTTGTTTAAATATTGCCTCGAGAGGCGAGTTTATTGGGCAGCGCCACTCATCCTGTGAGTGGACACACAGCCATAGTGACAGTATTGGGCAGCGCCACTCATCCTGTGAGTGGACACACAGCCATAGTGACAGTATTGGGCAGCGCCACTCATCCTGTGAGTGGACACACCGCCATAGCAGCATGTACAACACTCCCCCAATAGGAAGAAAACCCGCTGGGTTGTTCATCCTGTCACTTATACCCAGACACAGCTGGGACTTGCTTACCTTTCTCAAGTGAACAGCTTAGCAAGTAAGAATATTAGCATTTACCAACCCCTAAAGTCATGTTATCTTGCGGGTGTAAAGTGGGGAAATCTTTTATGGACAGTATCTATATTTGACTAATAGTGTTTTCCTAACTCAAACAGTGTGGGGTTTATCATGCTACACATATTGTTAATGTCTCTTAGATGTTCACAGTCTCTCAGGCAGTGGTTAAGGCAGAGTCCGTCATTCTCACCACAGATTCTACAACTCCGCTGCTCAACTGTTGTTTCCATCCCGAATCTTCATGGATGTTTGTATTCAACCCGAATTCTTCCTATTACTGATTCTCACCCGCGGCCACCTCCCCTTCGTCCATAATGACTGGGATTGCCGAGACAACTTTTACATGATCCTGTAAGTTGGTTGAGCTTCTCTTTCGTCCCCTTGATAGAGCCGCCAGTGACGCCAAGATACCGATAGTGGTCAACCCACTCAAGTGTTTCACCATTAATTTCCAGTTCATCTTCTCGCTTGTGATGAAAGTGTGTTGTTGTCTTGTTTGTGGAAGGAGTGAAACCGAGTTCAGTTCACTTCCTTCCAAGGAGTTCAATGGACTGTTTACTTTTTTTCAAAGGCTTGTTTTAGAACATCATCTGCATATCCCACTTGTGTTCCTTCCGGAAATTCAACAATAGCAATAGCGTTCATAAGGATGTTGCATTGTGTGGGGCTTAACACTCCTCCTTGGAGGGGAGGGAGGGTTCCCAAGTTCCATGTGCATTGTTCTCGAGACTGCTCCGTTGAAGCAGACCTTGGCTTTCCTCCCTGTGAGGTAGTCTTCAATCCATTTCATGAGTCTCCCCTTGACACCCATGCATGCAAGCTCATCCAGGATCGCAATCCCTTGTGCTTTATCGAACGTTCCTTTGATGTTAACAAATACAGAGCACTTAACTGTGTCATTAGCTAAGTAATTACTATACAATTTGCTGTGCTCCGTCCTTTAACAAATCCGTTGACCCTTTTTTCCTAGTCTACCTATTTTATGCGACAAACTGTTTAAGATGATCCTTTCAAGCATCTTGCATGCGCATGGCACGAGACTGATAGGTCTGTAATTGCCAGGATCCTTTGGTTTCGGTATGGGATCAATTATTGCTACACATATCTCACCTTCACTGTATATTGGGCCCGGAAAGCTCCTTTGTCCAAATTTCTGAAGGATACACGGATGTTGGCCAGTATGTCATATACAGCTGTTGTTATTTTCCTAATGTGGGCCCTATATACAGCGAAGGTCAGACCTACTCTTGAATATGCATCCACAGCATGAAACCCTTACCTGAAAAAAGACAAGGAGAAACTAGAAGAGGTTCGAAGATATGCAACGAGACTCGTTCCGGAGCTGAGGGGATTGAACTATGAGAAAAGACTGAGGGAACTGGACCTTACCACACTGGGGGAAAGGAGAGATCGGGAGGACATCATAACAACATATAAGATTCTAAAGGAAATTGACAAAGTAGACAAAGCAGCACTGTTCAAAGCTAAGAACACAAGAACGAGGGGTCACAGATGGAAACTGGAGACGCAAATGAGTTATAGAAACATCAGGAAGAACATTTTTAGTGTTAGAACTGTCAGGAACATGGAACAGGTTAGCTGTCGAAGTCGTTGAAGCAAATTCGATTCAAAATTGTAAATGTAAATATGATATAAGCGTGAGAAGTGAGTCACTGCATCTACGAACGTTCAGAAGACGGGCCCAGGAGCCTAGCTCGACCCTGCAAGCACATCTAGGTGAGTACACACACATGTGAAATCAAAATCGTTACCCGTGACATTCCTTGTGTGTTGCGCGGTCAGCAAACAATTCGAACGATGGCTTACGACGGAGGTCAGTTTCGGCTGTACCTCAAACAATCACTCGTCTCAATCCTTGCCTCAACGGTAGCACAAATGTTGTCCGGTAGCTGGAAGAGCCGGGCAGTGATTGGTCAAACTTTTGGGATGACTGCTCGAGATTGGAGCTAATACTGGCAGACTAAACTGGCAGGAACAGCAAGTAACTACAGGGCTGTTAGGCAATTATGGCTCACTGTTTATGTTCTCTCTCTCTCTCTCTCTCTTACACACACACACACAAACACGACACAATTCTGAATAAGACACATGCAAGCAAGTTAACCTAACAATCAGAGTAACATGCTCACCAAAAGAGCTGCATATTTACAATCAGAGTAACATGCTCACCAAAAGAGCTGCACATTTACAATCAGAGTAACATGCTCACCAAAAGAGCTGCACATTTACAATCAGAGTAACATGCTCACCAAAAGAGCTGCACATTTACAATCAGAGTAACATGCTCACCAAAAGAAGTGCACATTTTCGAACAAGGTTATGTCAGCTCGTGCGACCCAGATGAATGTCCATTACGGGGAGAACCAGGTCATCTTCTTGCCCGAAACGCATTGCGTAATAGTGGCTTTAGGCATTGTATGTACTAGATCTATCTATATATCAATCCATTAATGTAACATCACTTGTATGTATATACCTTACCTGAATAAACATCTGAATCTGAATCTGAATCTGAATCATAATCTGTGAGCCAGGTACCGGCACAGCCACCTGGCTGACCTGACCTTTAGTGGCTGAGATAATGGTTAGCTACTCTCGCCCGCTAATTACATTCCCACGCTTCTGTCTGTCTGTCTCTCTCTCTCTCTCTCTCTCTCTCTCTCTCTCTCTCTCTCTCTCTCTCTCTCTCTCTCTCTCTCTCTCTCTCTCTCTCTTTCTCTCTTTTAACTAAGACTAGGGATCATTAGGGCTGTCAAATGACATACCTAGTTAAACTACAAGCAAGAGCTGTTATCCAACCTTAGATCATCTGAAGCCTGCGCCTAGAAACTCATTTATTTCAGAGAATGTTCTCTGAAACAATCACATGGGGAACTATCATATAGTAACTACCATATAAGGAACCTGGTGAAACTGCGAGCAAAAGCTATAATTCTACCTCAGCTCAGATGCAACCTGCACCTAGCGAATTATTTATTTCATGAGCCTATTATATGCATCACTTGGAATAAACTGTAATCGTTAAGTAACAATCATATAAAGAACAGGAAGAGTCTGAAGCCAGTTGTGTGCCAGAGCCTTTAGTTGATCAACTGTCCTGATCTCCCGTGTATCAATCTGTTGATCGAACATGTTCCAGATGCTAGTCAGCCTAGGAAAGAATAATTGCCGATGGAGTGATGTTGAGAAAGGCAGTTCCAGCATGAGACTGAAGGTCGAGAGCCTAGTGACAACTGCTGGTTGTCCACGAAGTTGGCCCACGTGCAGAACTTTGAAAATGTTTGCCTTGTGCATAATAACAATTCCACAAACATTACGACGGTGTTGCAGGCTCTGGGGCCAGATTCACGAAGCAGTTACGCAAGTACTTACGAACCTGTACATCTTTTCTCAATCTTTGGCGGGTTTGTTTACAATTATTAAACAGTTAATGAACTCCGAAGCACCAGGAGGCTGTTTATAACAATAACAACAGTTGATTGGCAAGTTTTCATGCTTGTAAACTGTTTAATAAATGTAACTAAAGCCGTCAAACATTGAGGAAAGATGTACACGTTCGTAAGTACTTGTGTAACTGCTTCGTGAATCTGGTCCCTGATGTTCAGACCGTTCCCACCAGACTTGGGGAGGGGGTAGAAATAGCCTAACCTACTCTATCCCTTTGAGATGTATTTTCTTGTCTCAATAAACGTATTTGAACTTGAACCAGACTTGGTCAAGACTAGAGATGAGCCTTCTTGCACGGCTCTCCACTTTGTCCAAAAGTGTGATGAATGCTGGGCGCCAGGCAAGCCAGGAGAG